AATAAAAGATCTTCTACTTGACACTCATCACTTTAAAATTTGCTACAGCTTGATAGTTTTTAGTAAATTTTATTACAGTAGTATAGAAAAACTTGCAAGAATAGACAAGACATTAGTAAAGTTGTAAAAATAAGTACTAAGATTTTATAAACTCTACAAAGATATAGCAATTTAATTACTAACTCTGATTGCAAATGTTAGTTTAGCTATAATGAGTCTAAATCAATTATAAATAAAAATACAAAAGACTTTAGAAGGTTTATCTTAAGAATAAATTAGACCTAAGATTAAAATAAAGCTTAATTAGTTATCTCTAAATCCTAATAAACTTTTTAAATTTAACTCATGACTATTATGATATACCTTACTAAATATTATTAAATTATACAAATTAAATATTATTTTTTATAAAGTTTAAGCTTATTCAAATAACATTTTTAACAATCTAGCAGACTCACTTGCTAAGCAATATACAAATGAATCCTTATTACACTTTAATTATACAAATATTTACAATTTATATTATTTATTATTCTTTGAAACAAAAAAATTTTTTGTTGAATTTTTTATCAGATACTTTGTTAAAAATATCTATAAAACTTATAATCTTGCACTGTAGTTATTACAAAAATGAAATAATAAATAAACTTTATTAACTTACTATATTAATTAGAATTTAACTTAGCTATACTTCAACTATAATCAAAAATCTATTTATAACCTTACTAATTTTAAACTTAATCAATCCAAATTATTTAAAATTAAAATCTTTTTAATGAACTATCTACTCAATACCTTTATTATAAAATTTATTCTCTAATCTTTCATAATGCTAATTGCTTTTATTATAATTCAATTATATCATTATTATATTAATACACTTGTGTTAACTCTTTTTTGCTTAATAGCATTATTTTTAATATAATAACTAACTGCATAAACTTAGTCAATTTAGACTTTTTTAACAATAAAATTAAAGAACTTGATCAAAAAATTAATAACCATTCAATTTTCAAAGAAACATCTCTTCATTCATTCTCATATTATCTAAAACTTATTCTTAAAAATCTTATTCTTTTATCTTTAATTAAAACTATTTAAAATCTAGAAGTTTTATATAAACTAGTATTAACAATTACTATTAATATTTTACTAAAAATTAACAAACAAATTTACAAACAATTATAGAAACACTATTATATTAATTTTTTAAATTGGAAAAAACAATAACAAATAATATACTCATACTCTAATCAACAAACTTCATTCTTCTATAGTAGAAATAATATACATACTCATTATAATTTTATTTATTTTTGTTTCTATAATTAGTCTAATCAACTTCATTTATATATTAGAACCTGTCCACTTATTAGATGGATTTTTAGAAAAAATAATACTTAAATCATTCTGTAAGTTAAGTATAATACAACTTCTAACTTTATTTTGATTATAAATAATATAGGCTAGGTGTTATAAAAAGAAACAAAAATAATAATTTTTTCAAATGATATTTTTTTACATAAATCAATTTAAAATAAGTTTAGAATTGTTTTTTATTTAAGACACAAAAATAGTTATATTAATAAAATTTTATAGTATAGTTCTTTAAAGTTTGCATTTTCTTATGATTTATTATAAAGTTTATAATATAAAAATAGATTTTTTGAAAATCTTTTTTTTTGTCAATTTTGTTCCTTTTTACAGCACCAAGCTCATATTATCTAGATAAATTTTTGACTATTCTAGTATGTTTAGGTTATAAATAAATTAGATTTATTTAATTGTCTGAACTTTTATTCTTATATATAATTTTCTTTTTTATTTGTACTAGTACAAATAATAAAATATATATTCTATTCATATATTACTATTTTAAATTACTTAATAAAGATATGAGCAAGACTTCACCTTAATAAAAAATATATATATATAATAGCTTACAATTCTTTTTATTTTATTTTAGTTTTAAAACTACTAAATTTAGTACATTATACTAAATTTAGTATAGCAAATGAATATTTATTAAATTTTGCTATTATTTTTTAAAAACTCTGACCAAATAAGATTTCAAGATAAGATGTAATATTACACAATCAGAAACATTCAAAACAAACATTTTTTTTGTCAAAAATTGCCTATAACTCAAAAAATTATATAGAAAACCATCTTTAGTGCATTAGCAAAAAAATTTTTTTGAATAATTTATTTTTAAATTTTTGCTAACCTTAATATTAGTATAGATCCTAACCCTTATCTAAACAAACTTTAAAGAATTTTCAGATCTCATGTGACTGCAACATTTTGGTGATGAAACTGGAAAAGTAAACAATTCATAAACAGTTCTAGAAACAGTTAAGGTTAGTGGTTTTGATGTTCTTAAAATATATCTAGAATATAGGCTCTTAACCTATAACCAAAAATAAATAAATAAATTAACAATTCATGAAAGAAAGAGAATTTGTATTAATAAAATCTATAACATTATATATAAAATATAAAAATCAAGAGAATGGTAATTCTAGTATAATAGTTGAGTTATTATTCTTCAAATGGCAGGTCTAAGGTTCAAATTCCACCTATAATGAAATTTAGAAATTATTTCTGCATTATAGTAACTGTTTCCTGTCAATTGATTGACCTTATATGGCTGTTACCTAGGTATACCAAGTCAGGTCTTACCAACATTGGAAGCTCAGGCATTTATGCGAAGTATAACATTATATGTACATAGAGGAATATATAACTGATATTATATAAAACTTTAGTACAAACCTATAATAAGACCATTAGGTGTAAAAGACTAAGGAACTAAGGTGACAGAAACCTACTTGGAAATTTCTAAGTAAAGAGGTAGCATGAACTTTTAATAGTATCATTGGACTGGTTAAAGTTTACAAAACACCTTCATAAGAACCAAAAGTTAAAACTAGACATCAAATATGTATAAAGAAGCATATAACCAACCAGGTTACTAGATTTACCAGAGAAAAAGGATACAGAGTATATTATACTAAGCTATCTGAATTGGTAGTCTGAAATAAAACTAATGCTTTTAAATTGTAACTAGTAGGAGATAATAAAGAAGATACCAGGAATATAGATACTAGAGTTCTAGTAAACTTTATAAGGGTAGAAATAGTGTAATATAGCAGTTAAACAGGTAACCTCTGTGACTGCAAGTATTAGGTAACTATAACATGTTGCATAAAACTAAGTTTATATGTGTAAGATATAAAAACTCTAGTAAGTTTCCTATCGAGGATAAACTAGTCCTAAAGGTAACAACAAGCATCGAGAACTTGAATGAATATAATTTTGAGATGTTCTCATAATACAAGAAGGACTGCATATGCAGAGGGTTTAAATAGGTAAGACCTCTAATCGACTTGCAAGTATGATAACTAATATAGAACTTATATAGCAATGTGTAAGCAGACTACTTAAATTAGGCACCAAAAGTGTATGTATGATTAGTTGTAACCTCCAATGTAAGGTAAACCCCTAGTGACATGCCATGTTCTAATATACTTGAATAAAAAACATTACATTTCCAAGATAAGGACTTTAACTATAAATATATATATATAGATAGAAATCAGCATTCCTGACTATTTAAAGTTAAATTTTTATTAATTTAACATCTTTTGGTCATCTAATGAAAGTTGTAGAGCTAGTTTTTGTGATTCTAATGATAGTAAGATCGGTAAAATTAGTTAGATATGTAGAAAGTTACAAGCAATTTAAGTTTAATTTTTTCTATAAAACTATAGGAATCGTGATTTCTGTATTAATATATTTTAATATATTTTATTATAAAAATCTCCCCCGGTTTTTATTCTCTTTCTATCGCGAATTGTCAATTGAATTTAATTAGTCATCACGTGCCAACTAACCCTAACCCTCTACCCCGGGTATATTTTAAGGATTTTCTGTTTTAGTAATATCACGTGAATCGCACTGTTCCTTAACTGTAATCACTAGGCACATAGATTCACGCGGGTAAGATCGCGGGTGATCTTCATATAATAGAAAATTTTTTATAAAAATGATTTGCCTCTAACGTTTTAATGTCAACCAAATCTAAAAAGAGAAAATCTCAAGGTACGTAAGTATATGCATTATAAACATTCTTTATAGGGATCCCTCACTCATTCAGAAAAAATAGCGCCCAAAGAGGACGTTCAAACTGTCAATGTTGGCACATCGAAAAATAAAGAAGAAATAGTACCACCTTTCCAAAGAGAACCGTCTGCAGGTATAGTTCGTACTTACTGGTATTTTTATATAAAAAACCCACACATTAACGTAACGGCATAATAGTTCTTATGGAAGGTGTTGAACACACCAAAGTTATTCCAGGCATGGAAGTTATTTCAGAAACTGCAAGTATCGAAGAAATCAAAAATAACTGGAGTCGTGAACACGTTATTTTATTTCTAAAGCTCAAGAAAGAGAAAAAGGAGTTGGATATCGAAAACCAAGATATCAAAATAATTGAGAATAATCGAGTTAACGGAAAGCATTCCTTGCTTTAACTGAAAAAAAGCTTTTCAAGCACCCCTATAATATGGTTGGTGGTCCGGCATACGAAATCGCACAACTGATCGAGACTTTAAAAGGTGAAAAAGGTAATAATTTTATGGGAAATTCTATTTTGACCCGGGTCAAAATAACCTCCCCTAAAATTTAAGGTTAGTGCGGGCCAAAACTATGTTGATACCGACCAGGGTTTTTTAATATAAAAACCCGACCGACATTAACGGCTCGCACTAACCCTAAATATTAGAAAGGTTATTTTGACCCGGGTCAAAATAGAATTTCCCTAATTTTATTTAAATGATTGTAACAGTAGGAGTGCTAACTTGTTTTATACCAATTTTTACAAATGACTTGCAAAATATCATGCTCTATACTTCTTAATATGAAGTAGATCAAACATATCAAGCACCAGATGAGCAAAATCGGTTATTTAATTTTATGCTTATTTATTATGAATAAGGATGGGTTCGGTCGGTCATTTCGGTCGACCGAACCCATCCATAATTGTGAATTTCTATTTTGACCTGGGTTATTTTAACCCATAATGTGATTTTGTTGCTGATGTTGCTAGACTAAAATTTTTTTAGATTTTTGCGATAATTGATTTAACTGTAATTTATTAATGTATATAGTACATTATTATTGTTCAATTAGATAGCTTCATTTGGCACAAAAAGGATTTCTGTTCGTTATGTCTACAACCCTAGAGATTTTTCCATTCTCAACTAACTGATCACACTTTATATTCTTAAACATTTTAATTATATTGGCATAGATTTTGACCCTGAATTTTGATTAGTTTGCTGAATTTTGGCAGTGCCACTAATTTCAAAAAATTATCAAATTACACGACCAAGGTCAAAATAGAACTCCCAGCCAGGTCACGTGATCGGTTGTTCAAAATAGAATTACCTTATTTATTTTACATATTTATTTTATTTATTTATTAAATCATAGAAGTTTACAGGAAATTGTACAAGATGCTGTGAATAAAGCAGTTAATGAAAAATCGTTTGAGGTGATTAGTGTGTCAAAGCTAAGTTGGACCAAAATGAACAAAATCGAGAAAGCTATAGGCCTTAATACTATGCGAGTATGTAGATATTTCTACTAATGAATTTTTTAAATATTTAATCTTATCTTTTTCACAATAAAGGTTAGTGTTGAAGATTTTCCAGACACTTCCATCATAAAATGCAATGGATTTAAATGGGATATGGAAAAAGATGAAGACAAACAAATGCAAGATGTCAAAAACTGGTTTAAAAATGTATTAAATTTAGAAGAAGGTTATTCTATCGAAGATGTTCATAAATCTACAAAGAAAGAAGTAACATTAGATAAAGCGCGTACTATATTACGAAGCGGATTTGATATCGCCATTGGCCCAAGTCGAACGGAATGTATCTATATAGAAACAAAAAAAAAACTCCAAGAATTAAAGGCAGAGGAAGCTCAAGCTAAAGGAGAATTACTTATCGCAAATGCGGATGTTGCATTAGACGTATTGGTTGTGTTGACAGATTGTAACGACAGGTGGACCTTTTTTTTTATAACCAAATCTGAAGAAGGTTCGGTTGAGAAATATTACATCGTAACTGCATATATTGATAACCGTGAAAAGGCATTAGGCTTAATCAAAGCCTTCGTTATAGAACAAGGAATCCAATTTGATAAAATTATGGGAACAAATAAAAGAAGCTTAGAAAAAGAAGAGATAAATGTTAGAGGGCCCTTTTCAAAAAAAGCGAAGTTCATAGAAGATGTTGAATTTTGTGATGAGAGAATGTTAGATATGATTCCAGATATGACGGATAATGAATTACGTCGCATGTTTACAAGATGGAGATTAAGGGCGCTTGAAAAGTCAGTTCCTATTAGTGAAAAACCTATTATACAACAGTACATATCAGAATATAGTGATGATTATGAGAAACATGTAACCTCAATATATTCATAATCCCTATATTAAAGATAATATAAATTTCTTATACAATTTATTCTACATATAATAGCGGATTTACAACTTGTACAGTACAATCTCTCAAATCTGATGGATAGCTTTCGTATCGGTTTTGAGAGGTTATCGGATTTAAAATACTAATGGTTTACTAATCACATAATGATAAATAAATATAATTGGCTAGATTATTGTCCAAAGGATATTACGGTAGAGGGTTTAGGGCACTGGAAAAAAAATGTGCATGCCCTGAGGCAAAACATACAATTTTGATACTCCTGCACCTACATTTTTGATACATCAATAAGATTGCACGTTATTATAGTAAAAGTTAGTAAAAAAAGTATAGAAATTTTAGGTATGGATGTAATCAGTCCTTTGGGATTGAGTCCTTACCGATGCTTAAAAGGATTTGTGAGGATTCGATCCCTAAATCACATGATAGCTCATTATGACCCAGATCCTGGGACCGGCCCCTTTTATAAATCCTAGGACCCACTTTCACTAGAGATTTTTGACAAGAAAAAACACTTGCCTTGGGCAAATGTTTTTTTGTTTTTTTTAAAGGCGTATGTCTCTAGTGTTGAAGTAATTTACAATCCTAATTCAATATATAACTAAGAATTAAGTTAATAATAGGTAACCATCTCCGGATTCAAATATATAATTAGAGGTAAGTAAACTTATAAAAGTTAAATTATTAAGTATTCAATGACAAAAGAAGTATCATTCACATTTAGCAGCAATAGAGGTACCATCTTCCTTGCTAGTGACAAAGACGAAATGTCTTAAAGAAGGTATTATCTCTTTTGCTAATAGTAAAGGTGAACATCCTAAAAAAGTTAACCATCTTTGGTTTTGAATATATTATGAAGGTGAATTAAGTTTGTTTAAATTATTTAGTATGACCAATTAATGAATATACTTACACTTATTAACTATCTTTGGTTTTGAATATATAATAAAGATGAATTAAGAGGTAAATTATGGTTAAAGGGTACAAAAATAATGAATTTAATAGTAAAAATTATTAGAAGTTGATATGGTTTTTTTATAAGACTAAAATGCAGCTAGTTTACAATGAAAAGTTTTTTCATATCAAGTAAACCTTTTTTGAGTTTCTAACAAAGATTATATAACAAGTTATTTTAGTTCTAATAGTGGTAGAATAATTCAAATTGGTTTAGTAAATCATGAGCTATTGACATTTTCTTTTTTATGATTATAAGATTTTTACATAATGCTAAAAACTTTTAGCATCCCAATATTATATAAAAGTAATAGTAATTTTTTGCTAATTTTTATTATAAAATTTATACCCTTCAATTGTGATTTACCACTTAAGCTTATTAAAGTTAAATTATTTAGTAATAAATAATTAGTATCTTATATGTATTTGTTGGTCATCTTTGTATTAAAATAGTTTATATAAACAAAAATTTAGTTAATAATAAAGATGAAATAATATTTATCTAATAATAAAAGCATTTGTTTAAAATAAATTATTCAGTTTTGATAGTAATAAAGGCAAAAATTTTTTATTAATAATAAAAATAGTATAGTATTTTATTTATTAATCACAAAAATCAATTATGTTTTAAGACTAACTATTATGTTTAATATATAAAACAAAGACAATATACTTTAAAAAAACTATTTTTTGAACAGAATTATTAATAAAGATGATATTATTTTTGCAAATCAAAAGTTGTATATTTTAATTTAACAATATATTGTAAAAGTTATTTAAAACTTTCTATTTTTTTCTAAAAAAGATAAAAAAATATAAATAAACTAATTTGAATCTATTAATAAAACTAAAATTACTAAAACAAATTAATATAATTTTGAATTTATTAATAAAGAAACTTTTAGTAAAAAATTTTTTACAAATAATAAATTCACATTATTGTTTTCAGATAATATAAAAAAATTATCAATAAAGTCTTATTTATATATAACTAAACATCTGTTTAAGATTACTTTTTATCAACTTCTAATTAAGATAAAAGATTTAAATATGTGAACAAATGTTTGGCAATCTGATCACAATATTAATCATTAACTAACATTTTTAAAATTTTTATTATTCATAATTTATTAAAATTAAACAATATAAATTTTAATAACTTAACTTTTATAATCCAAATAAAAAATATAAAATAGATATTTTAAATAATAAACTCTTAAGATGAGTGGTTATTAACTAATAACTATTTTTATTAACTAAAAATTCAGTATTTATTAATTTTTTGCAAAAACTAAATATTTGTAACAAACTCTTATATTGCCAAACACTCTTAACTTAAGTTAGTCAAGAGTATATTAAAAATAAAAATAAATTTAAATTTTTTTTAAATACAATTTTATTTAAAATTTTGATTATAATAGATGATTAGACTTTATGTACTTAATAACTATACATTGGCATAACAGTACACTAAATTGATTCTAAATAGAAAATGTATTGTATTTTATTAGATATTATTCTATTCAAACAAACTTATACAATAATAAATTAAAGTAATGTAATTATCAAACTTTTAAAAGAAATGAATATTGGTCACTAACTTTTAAGAAACACAATAAACAATACCATAAACATAATTACAATAAGACATGCTTTAAAAGAAAAAATGTATAAATTTAATAATAAATCTCTACAATATTTTTATTATGATGTATACATTCTAAATATTATTATTAAAAAAGAAATTAAATCAATTAATAATAAAATTTTCAAAATATAAAAGTTTTTTATGAAGTTTTAAAACTCTTTATCACTAATTCAAAAATTAAATCAAATTTTTGAACTAAAAAAACTTTCATTTTTAATATCTAAAATTGATGTGAACATCAAATGAAATAATATGTTTATTATACTAGAAAAACTTCAACAAATCTAACACATTACTAATATTCTTGTAGTAAGTAATCAAATGTAACTAATTTATTCTAACAAATAAGAATATCAATTTATTATTATTAGTAATTTTAAATTATTTTTTATTTTTTAAATACATTTTATTTTAATAAAATATAAATTATAGAACTTGTTAATTCTTCTTGAGACTATATATTATGCAACTATAATGCTATTTTCATTAACAGTTTTTATTCAAGATAACTTGCATATGTTATGTAATTTTATTATATCACAGAATAAATATATGAAATATTACAAAAAATTTTACATAACAAAAAACTTTTAAAATAACTGATTGATGTAAAATTATTTTAAAATAAAATAATGTTGCAATATTGCAAAACATATGAAATAATTTTGAAAAATTGTACTTATTTTACAATAATTTAAAAATTAATAAAACTAAAAAAATTGAAAATATATTTCGAAATTAATATGAAATATTAAAATATTTTGAAAATAATAAAATAATTTTAAAATATTTCAAAATATTTAAAAGAATTTCAAAATAATTAAAAAATTTTTAAATAATTTTAAAATATTTTGAAAACTATGAAATAAATTTTATTAATAAATTTATTTTATATTATTTTTATTTTTTTTTGAACTTTGGTGACAATGCCAGTTGGTTTTTATTAGCCTTAATTTGATATAGTACAAATTTATAGTTATATTTTAGGATCAATTATTACTAGTACTATATACTATCTAATTTAATACTACTGACTTCACCTGATTACCCTTATGGCACCTAAGTGCATGTCTGCCACATGCCTGCATGCAGTTATCTTAGCAACTACTTGCAGTCATGGCACACATTAAACTGCTACACAGACAAGGATATCTACTGAACTTAATGCAGTATTCCAAATGCTAGGGATACTGTCTTCTGTAAATCATACCCATATGTCCCACTCACATGTTTTATCTGGTCTTGTTTCTTCTACCTCCTAATCTAACTATATCTAATATTACCTTGTTCCCCATATTTCTCACTTTTTTGTTACAGTATTACTTCCAAATTGATCCTACTCAGATATATCTGATTCTTATGATCTTCTCATTTTTGGTTTGCCTGTTATTGATTCCCCTAAGGTGTTCTAACAATGGTTCAGAATCTGCAATAAACCTATATCTCAAGCCAGATTTGCTGCTGCCATTGGTTTTTTTGACCAATCTATATCTCAAGCCAAACCTGCTGCTACCATTCCTGCAAATACCCCAGGTCTTAACGTCATACAGTAACTTGATGCTGCATTTAACTTCCAACATGGTGCTTCTTTTTATAATAGAGACTAGAACTTGTTGCACTTACAAACAGGACAATTCTGATTATACCTAGGGAGTTTCTCCGACCCTAGTAATACTATACTACCATGTATTGCAAGCTTCCAGCTTATTCGACAATACCTGCAGAACAATTCTGGTTATGCCTAAAGAGTTATACTGACCCCAGTAATGCTATACTACCTTGCAGATCTTATTTCATATTGGTTGGTTGATCTCTAGTCTTGTTCATCATAGACTTCCATATAGGTACGACCAAAACTTGATTTGGTACTTTTAATTGCATAAGGAAGTTATACACCTACCTTCAAGATCTTCTCTTTTATAATTAGATTATTCAGCTATACCAGAGGTGCTTCCAATTTTGGTTAGACCAATCCTTTATCACAGTCTGTCCTCATGTTCACTGCTTTTTTCACTATTCCAGTCTTGGTTACTTGTCAAACTACTCTTCTAATCAAATCCTCTTCTTGGATCCCAATTAAGACTTATTTGCACAATCTGTTGATTATTCTTCCAAGCAAGTACCCTACAAGTTGGATGTAAAGATGTTAGTACTGCCTATATTGGAAGGTATAAGGATGTTGGTGTTGCTTTAGTCTAAAGAACTTAGATGTGCAATCCTTCCATAACTGTAACCTTCTGTAACAATCACTTGTTACATATAGTGCCTCCACTCCATAATTGGGTCTCCTTCTGGTAATTTCTATTTCTATTATTGTATTGCACTTGAACTTTTAACTACAGGGCTTCATATTCAATTACAGGCTTCTTATTAGGTTACTGA